GAGATTATCCGGCTGAACAAAACGTGATCCCTCTCTTAAATATGTGTCAACCACAGACCTTATTTCGAGCTATTTTCCCAAATCCTATGGAGAATTTGCATTGGTTTTTCAAGAAGGAACCGGAAGAAGTTTACTTCCGGGTTTTACGACGCGTCACTGCGGTTCTCTATAGTCTATGATTTTAACTTGGAGGCTACTATTAGCATCGTTAGCATCGATGGAGCTACCACTCGCTTACACGCTAACCCAAGCCGTAACATTAATTACGTAGCTGATTAAAATCATTAACACATAAATAAGTACTCGAATTTCACTTACCGCAAAACCGCATTCATGCACCGTCTGTTTCAACCGCAGAGCGAGTCACAATAGTCCGATATATAAGCATGAAGAACAAACAAACACGGCCGGGGGCAAGCTGGTTCCTGGATGAGCTGAACAGGCAGAGTGCCTGCCTGTAGCTTCACGGAGCAGCTAGCAGAGAGACAAGAAGCTAGCAGCAGTCACTTCACAGAGCCGTCACTCAATGTGACCACGCCCTAATTTATGCAAAAACTTTAAGACCTAATATAAATAAAAGGGTTGTGTTAGAAAACAATTCACTCACAGATCCATAATCATGAAGTTGGAATCTAACTACATTCATAATAATATTTATTGCATCCATGGGTAGAAACATGTTTTTTTCTGCTGTAAAGTTGGGCATTTTAACATGGGGGTCTATGGAAATTGCTCCTTTCTGCAGTCAGTCCCTATCGGCCAATATATGAACTGCAGTGTGTGCCACTTCCGTATTGGCGTCCCGGCTCTTCCACAGAGTTTGCCGCTTGTGTGCAACTCAAGGCATATGCTCGAACGGGAGCTGCCTGGACGCTGCAATCATGTTGCGCGCACTATCCGTGCTGAGTGTGCTGACTTTTCCCACTATGTCCCACTGTCTGGCTACCTACATAAAGTGAAGTGCTCGGCGCAGTTGCCGGCGAAATGTCACTCCTCTGTTTTAATTTAAACAGCTCCTTATATCCGTTAGCGCAGCTAGCTAGCACCAGATGCTAACAACAACAACAATACACGTAAGGTCTCTCTCTCGCGCCACACGTACACACACCCTCCCGGTGCTCCCGATGGCCAGTCGGTGCCTGCCGGTGAGCGTGGAAGTGTGGTCTGCCGCAAGCGGACGGCAGGAGCGGGGCTGTCAGCATCAACTTGTAGATGGTATTTTAAACTCGATGCGCTCTGAAACTACGGGGCGGCCGAGGACAAAAAATACACATGCGTTAATCGCGTTAAAATAATTAGTGGCGTTAATTTTTTTTTGCTTTAACGCGTTATTAACGCTGTTAACTTGACAGCCCTAGGTTTTTCGTAAGGGCCACGCGAACGCGCAAACGGAGGGGGAGTGTGTAGGGGTAGGGTGTAGGGGGCGGTTTGGGAATGGGCCTCACCAACCCAGTTTCATAAAAAAATGTGTAATAACTACGTTGGTCCACAACTTGGGACGTAGTATTTCTACAAAAATGCCTCTGAAATTGTAGGATCCCTACGTTTTTTCTCACCATTCATTCCAATGGCTGGCGTCTATGTCACGTGAACTTCAAATTTCTCCCTGCAGAAAAAAAAAAATTGGCCGAACTTCGTTTTATTCTTGGTGGAAAATGCCTATTTAAAAGTTAGTTTGGCCATTAAAATGCCTTTTGATGTTATTTGATGCGAGAAATATGAGTTGTTATTTCAGATTATATGTGCAGTGGATGTACATGATCTTTAGTTTGCTAGTTATTACGAAGATTACTTCAGGAAATTGTGTCTTTACAACGTTTTCATTGTTAACAAGGTGGTTGCTAGGGACGCTGCTATCGATATTATTTCTGTTATGTTGTGTAAATGTTTTAATGCGTGTTATCTTTATTGCACCCCTTCCCGTCAATGTATAGTGTTGGTCCACAGCGAAACGTATTAGTTTAAAAATCCGCATCTAAGATACGTTATTCCCTGCTGCAATTCAAGTCTCACATCTCCATCACTCGTCCATAAACATCGCGAACGACGACTTTTTTTAAAATAAATAATACTTTCATTCAGAGTGTGATTGCTTTTCTCTTTGAAGTATCAATAAGCGGGCATTGTCTACACGGTTCGGCTGCATTACATATTACAATCTGCCCCAGAAAAAAAGTGTTTGAATGAGTACATTAACGGTTTTATGATGTCCCTGCCTGTCTAAGACACCGATCTGACTTTAGATTAATTGTGACTCGAGTGTTTCGTCAACTAATGTGTTGCTTAAATAATACTTCTTCATAAGTATGGTGACATGGTGAGTGTTGCACGGCACAATAGGCTCAGCTGCTCAGCATAGGAGATATATGATCATGTATATGTGATATGCCGCGGACTGTACTTATGTTACTCTGATCGTTCTCTGTTTGTCCCACGATTATTTTAAGTAAGCTTTCCTTACGCTAATGTTATACATAGTCCGATTGCTCTGAAGATGGAGGTGATACTCTATAAATCGCGCAGTGCGGTGCGTTAAATCTAAACTGGGTTGAAAACGTAGACGCGTCAGGGCATTTCAAGAAAGCGCCGGCCTTCCCTTCTCGCGTTTCTTCTCGACTTGGATCGGCCAAGGAAGGGCCGACGGCTTTCCTTCCGACCATAAATCGTGCCTGACTGCGTGCTCGCCGCTGCGCGTCTCTCACACAACTCGTCAGAGGCAGATCTATGAAATCCTCCTTCTACACACTTAGATATTTTGGAAGTACGGAGTAGGTGGCTGATGGTTTTTAGTCAGCAACAGGTCCAACTGCAGTGTACCTTACTACTAATCAAATACGCCCTATCAGTTATTAAGTTACTTATTTGGGACTGTAAGCAGACTGTATACTCACCATGATATTGTAATATATTGGATGTTCTCAGGTTTGGCAGGAAACACTACCACTTTGNTCGGCTCCAGCTTGAGCAGGCATACTCTACTGTAGAGAAACACAGGGCCAAGTGAACTCCAAGTGGGGCGTAGATCCACCAACAATCCGTGCAACTGCCATGGCCCTGTGTTTCTCTACAGTAGAGTATGCCTGCTCAAGCTGGAGCCGATCACGTCACACCAAACTGGTCGACACAGCCTTGAATGACACCTGCCGCATCATCACGGGATGCGTTAAGACAACACCTGTCCCGTGCCTCTATGCGCTAGCCGGCATCTCTCCCCCGCACCTCAGACGACTAGGTATCGCTCAAGATGAACGGAGAACACAGGAGACAGACATCAGACACCCCTTCCATGGCCACGTAGCACCCCCACGCAGGCTCCGATCCAGAGCCAGTTTTGTGTAGACAGTCCTGCCCCTCCAGACAATCAAACAAGCAGCAAGGACCAACATCTGGGAAGATGAATGGCAAATAAATGACACACGAGCTCTTGAATGGCTGGACAGAGGAATGACACCAACGGAAAGCCTCGCTAGTGGCCACGACCTTGGCTGGACAACCTGGAATTCACTTAATAGACTGCGTGTGGAACAGGGGAGGTGCAAAGCACTGATGAAAGTGTGGAACTACACCACAGAAGACACGTGCTGCTGTGGATCAGTGCAGCCAATGTCCCACCTACTGGAATGTGCCGATGCCCCCCGGTGCAGTCCAGAAGACCTGGCAGAACCTACCCCATCAGCTGTGGCCTGTGCCCGATACTGGCAGAACGACATCTGAGATTGCTACGGACCCGAAGAAGACTACACCATGAGCTTTTACATTGGTTCCCTATGAGTATTCCTTCACAATGTAAATCTATCACAATCGCCCTTTCACAATAAAATACCTTGACATATCCAGTGCATCACTGGCTACTTGAGAACATTTGCTTAGAAGCAAATCAACAAAATAATTTACTACTCTATAAAATTGCTTACAGAGGAGGCATAAATAATATGAAATATGAAAATCAACAGACATCAAATATATTATCAATGGCTCCTTTGGGCAGGTTACTTGGAAACAAATGCAGTACTGTCCTTTCTGTTGTACTGAGAACAAAGGGAATCTATTTGATTTCTTTGATTATGTTATCAGGTAAAAGAATAATGGAAAAAAAACAACAATAAAGTAATTTACACATTTATTTTAATTTTTTTTTAATCAACGTTTTCAAGGTCTTAAAGCACCCTTCTTTCATTTTCAAACATTTTTCTATGAATGCTTTCATGTTCTCTGTTTTTATTCCTGGTTAAATCTAGAAGACAGTGCATTTCTCCTAACCTCACAATCACCATGAGCACTAGGTTTCTAATTAGATTGGCGGTGCAGTTTAACAATCATTTGACACGAAGCTCAGTTTTGCAGCCTCGCTCTCCCGCAGTCCCTTATTAGTTCCAAAAACTGAGCAATGTGTGTGACGGCAAACAATAAGCACTGATTGCTCCCTTTGAGACCGTTATATAACAATGTTATTATAGCAATTATGTCTCAGAGAACAATGTTCCACACACCCCTTTAGGGTAAAACTAAAACACGCACAGTCAGAAGAACTTTGTGAGGCAGGGGGGAGTTAAAAACATATAATATACACTTCTGAAAGTGGAAGCCAAGGTTAGAAGAGACACAGACGCTATCTGAACTTTAACAGGATTTCTATTATTTAAAGTGACAGTAATGTATGTTAATGTAAGCGTATATGTCATTAAAACAAATGGTCTATCACAAATACACACATTTGTACATGCACTTTGTGTTGGTACGCACTGTGCACCAAGCGAACTGATGAAAATGTCACCTTTGGGTGCATCTTGTAAAAGTCCAATGATGTGAGTCAACAGAATGAATTAGCATTAGATAATCTTAACCAGCCTCACCAACACACCAGAATACATTACAGTTATGTAACCAAACTTGTTGTGACATGATTAAAAAAAGTACAAAAATAACACCACACACTGCAAACGCTGCTCTGGCGAACAGGCATCATACATCAGCAAGCACTTTAACACCAGCAATGGCCTTATGTCAGCTGTTTCTTCCCAGGTGTCTTGGGGACATGGTGCCACAAATGTCTGTGTTTGAGTCCCACAAGTAAGTCCTTAATCCTGACTACAGCGAAAGAGAGATGGCTGCACTTCCAGATGTAATCTCTCCAAGTTAATGTGCTCCTTTCACATCATTGCTGTTACGAAGATAGCTTTCTTTCTGACCAACTGGAACCAAAAGCATCCACACAAGCAGCAACCTGCAACAAAGAAAAGTGACAGCGTTTTAATGGTATCAAATGTGAAATGACAAGTGTGCCTTATTGTAAATCTATCTTGGACTTTTTCTTTCACATTTCTTTCATAATCAGTTGCCAAGAGACAATGAAAGCTACAAAAAAAGAAAAAACAGTGCGAGCTAAAAATAAGCCCAGATGTAGCTGCAACGTCGTCGCTTATGTAAGATCTGCAGAAATTAATTAGCAGATGTCAGTACTAGAGGGTGTGAGGGCAGCGTTGAGTAAAACACAGTCCAACTCATTGTTACTTACCTCCATTTTAAATTAACCGCACGGCTCCAGTCGAGACAAGTGGTGCTATAGTTCGATACCGCATTAGATGCTGAGAGCCCTCTTCGAGATCTACAACGTACTCTCTGATAGAAGAGACAGAGTAGAGATAAATCAGTTATTTACGCAGAAAAATAAAACAGTGCTGAATGTGAATAGTGGACACTGCTAGATCTGCAAAATGTATCCGAAGTCTATTGAAATTGCAACGTGTAATATCCAAATGCAGAAAGCGCAATATTTGGAAAAGGTAAAATATGTGAACTCAGACAGAGACCTACAAACAGTACTGAACAGACGTAAAGGTCCCATGTCATGGCCAATTCTACTGATAATAATTCCATTGTTGAGGTCTACTAGAATAGATTTATATTGTGCAATTTTACAAACTCACATTGGTTTCTCATACAGCATCTCTGTATAGTATTTGTATTCACTCTCTGTCCTACATGGCTTGTTGGAGCTCCTGCCCCCCCCTCCCTATTTGCCCACTGTGCTCTGATTGGTCAGCTCGCCCACTCTGTTCAGATGAGTCTACCACCGTTACAGCGGAACATCAGTGATTATGTGTTACAATGGTGTTTGTTAGCAACCAGAAAATGACACCAGTAAGACAAACAGATGAGAATGCTGCTGGCGTTTTGCTGAACAAGATGGTAATCGCCGCATTCAGCTGTAGGCATGCAGAGCCGCGGGAAGGTATTTTGAGTGGGGGTGGACCAAGCCCCCAGGAAGGGCGCCGGACTCAGATGAAAATATTCGTAGTGGCCAAACGGCGGTACTACACTTCCGTTTGGTTGCCAGGCCCGGAAACACTTTTTCCCATTGACTTACATGGGGAAAGAGTGGTCTGTAAATCGTTGGATACTTTTTTTTTTCTTTTTTTTTACATAAATAACGTATCTATGCCACAATTTTAGATGCAGATTTTGTTAGACTAATACGTTTGCGCTGTGGACCAACACTATAAATTGACGGGGAAGGGGGTAGCAATAAAGATAACACCATTAAACAGTTACACAACATAACAGAAATAATATCGATAGCAGCGTCCCTAGCAACCACCTTGGTAACAATGAAAACGTTGTATGGACACAATTTCCTGAAGTAATCTTCTTACATTACTTAGCAATTAAAGATCATGGCATCCATGCACACATAATCTGAAAATAAACTCATATTTCTCGCACAAATTGACATCAACGCCTTCTTATTGGCCAACCTAACTTTAAATAGCCATTTCCAAGGAGAATAAACGAATGTCGGGCCATGTTTTTTTTTTCTGCAAGGAGAAATTTGAAGATCATGACTGAGCGCCAGGATATATTGGTTAATAATGTATGGTTCTTCCTAAGTGGTTGTAGAAATTACGTCCCCAAAAGGGACCACGCTAGTATATTACTTTTTTATGAGACGGGGGTGACAAGATCTTCTGAGTATCCCTAAATCGAGGTTGAGGCGCGAGGAGACAGAGC